CTTCCCGAAAGTTTTGATGCTTTGGCTCCAATCTATTTATTTATAGAAAGCAGTAATTGCAGATGTTATTTTTGCATGTGTTCTATGATTGCTCTTTTCTTTTTTTCTTTTCTTGGCCTGCATGTTTGCTATACAGGAGCCTGCTTGGGAAATCAATGGCAACAGAACAACCTTCAGTCCTCTAACTAACACGGCGGCTGGGCCTGTGGGTAGTATTTTAGCAACCAATGGAACGTTTTCAGGCTACCTCAGCAAGCAAGAGATCAGCTTTTCAAATAGCTCTTCCAACTTAAAGACTACCACAGTTAGATCTTCCATGTCCTCTCAGTCTGTGACTCCTGATATTTCACCTGCAAAGAATAATCTAGGTTCAAACCTAAGCCCTGTACTGACTGAGGGCAATAGTCCTTTACACCAGCTGAGCCCTGCAAGGCAGTATAACAACCCTATTGGCCTTTACTCAGCAGAGACTCTAAGGGAAATGGCTGAGATGCATAAATTAGGTCTCAACCGAAGGGCTTCGGAAGGTGGACTTCCTAGAGGGTAGGTAACATGGTAAAATATTTAATATTTCATTAAGTAATGAATTTGCTGAAAAAGGAATGTAATACTACCTACCCTATTGTGCCTTTGTCTGGTAAGCATGATTAAGGTCTGGAATAATCACTAAATTTTCTATTACCCCCCAAAACATACACAGTACTGTTACAGAATAACTTTTGGTCTTTGGTATCTGAATTGCAATAGGGACTAGCAGTAGTCCCCAGAGCATGAGGAGGAACACTGTGACTGAAGTAATGGGGATCATCTCAGGGTTCTGGGGCTGAGCCATGTGAACTAATGCCTGTGGTCTCATCAAGCATCACTGTTGGCTGTGATAAAAGCTACCATAAAACAGATCTGATCTTTGGTGCTTTCCTAAAGCTTTGACCAGCAAATCTGACATGCTATTCTACTGGAGTGCCCTGCTACAAATCCTGCCTTGATGTTATTGGCTTTCCTATGTAAAATGAGTCAAAATTTTTGCGGTATTTTCAATCCTCTAGTTTGAACATAGTCTGTCTCACATCCGTTAGCTTTTCTTTTAACTTGTATGTAATAAGGAATGATCTCTAGATACTACCCAGATAGTTTGATCCTATGCTGTCAAGGTTTTCTGCTACTGTATTGCAGTTCAAGTGTTTTAATTAGTAGTTTTTGGAAGTGAGGAGCTTGGATGACAATACTTGAGAAACAGGCTTTCCTAATTTTTCTGCCTTTGTTTATTAATTTGCAAACTAATTTCTAATTTGTTTCTTGTTTTTTAAAAATGAAGATAAATTTCTTATTATGAATATCGGGGAAAGTGTACTTTTGACACTGGGGTCTTGGCTGTATGAGGAAAAACAGAAAATTCAGGCAATCCACTCAAGGTCCAATAGCAAATGCATATTTTCAAGTACTTTATATCCCATTGCAGAAGCTCTTTGCAAGAGTAATATCTAGTGGTTTTAAGTTGCAGCAAAGTAAGGATATTTTTTTCTTATAAAAAAGCATATATGCCTGTTCTAGATGATTCATTGTAACTTTCTTGAGCACTCAGCACTAACAATCCTAATTAACTTATCTGAAAAAATCCTATCCTCCCTTTCTCGTACTGGATAATTAAGAAAGGCAATTAGTGTTTAAAGTAAAAGGATTTCAGTTAGTTAGCAACATTGGCAAAACAAGCCTCAGAATGCTTATCTCTTAATTTACAGTTTTCTTGAGGAAATCTATTCCTTAATTCCATGTGCAGTTTCTTCGCAGAATTTCTCCCTGTCTTTCTCCCACTGTCTTCACAACCTTCCTTAAGATCTGCAAGGGTGAGGGTGAAGGGGCTGTATTTTGGATGGCTCAGCATTCTGACTATTTCTTTGTTATCAAAATTACAATTGCCTTTATATGTACAAGTTAGTTCGTGCCTGTGGCAGTGTACTGAATTACAAAGCAAGGTTCTACTGTTTTAGTTTGAACAGAATCTTAGGAAGTTGCTGTCTGTCTGCCTTGTAGCATCCATAGCACCAATGAACAAATAAGAAAATGTATGATAAATCAGCTCAAAGTTCTGTTAAAAAAAATAATCAGCATTTATCCTGCAAGCTTTGGAACATTTTGTAAAGATGAAAGCACCCAGAGGTACTAAGTATGTGTGTCTTTTCAGGTAATTCCTCTGAGTGTTGGAGAAATGTACATCTCCGTTTACATGCAGAAAAAATTCAGAATTCAATAATCCTGTCACTTCCACTCCCACTTGAGTGTTACTCAGGAAGTGAGAGGCTTCTTTCCTGTTGCTCGGTGGAGAGTAACATGGAACCTGTAACTACCTGGGGACTTGGTATCAGCTGTGATAATTTCAGTCACATTGTGCATATATGTGAAAGTGCACAAGGAAAGAAAGCATTGTGAGCTCTGCAAAGTCACCTCCAGATGTTCTTATTGTGTAGTATGAGGTGAGATGCTGCAGAAAGATTGTGAAATTACAGTGCTCCAAAACTGTGAATTTATTATGCATTCGTGAGCATGCCCTTAGCAATATGATAAAAGGTGTAAAAAACCATCAGGTTTGGGGGTTGATCTTAAGGTATGTCATATTTCAATGTGGTGTCCTTTTCACCAAGTAACTTAAATTTCCTTGTGTGAATTGCTGTTAGAGGTTTAGCTAAACCTGTTGGAAAATCCTATCAGAAAGCTAAAATTAATGTTGAGATTATTTCCTCGATCTGCAAAGAAAAACAAAGCATCTGTTTCTCTGATACACTTTTACATTAAAGCTTTATCACCTTGGCCGAGGGTGCGAAAGCTCTGGCAAGGGGAGGATTAATAAATACAAAGAGTGAGTCATGGTTTGTAACACATGGGGTTTTTTCATTCCAGTGTAAGTTATTTTTCACATTGTAGGCCAAGGGCAGTAAATACCTGTCCCACAAGTACATGCCAGGTGGCTTGGGTTACTGTGTGACCTCTGTGAGCAACGAGCTGGGTGTTCCATACATGTCCGTATTTAGAATCAAGCTAAAATAAAGTTTGGCTTTGAACTGGAGAGAATTTCCTCATAGCATATAAAACATCAGGAGAAGTAAAGCTTTGCTCTTTTTGAAGGAAGCTATTGTAGCCTCTTCAGTCTAAAAAAATCTTTACTGACACTTGTGACTGTTGAGTTCTTCCTAGTGTGTGCACATCATGATTTTTAATCTTTTAACATATTTTTATATGCAAACAAGTGTTTCTTCTAAATAAGGTGTATTTAAGGGATGGTAGTTCTGCCTTAAAAATAATATTCTATGTGTAAAGCAGAGGCTTGGATTATTGGATTAAACCAGGCAACAGAGTCCACTACAGAAAATGATACTATCACACTATGTTTCATTGTAAATGAGTGCCCAGCTGTCCTGCACACACCTAAAATGGATCACTGATGTGCTTACAGGCTGCAGTTTGTTCCTAAAATACCTCTACTGGTTCCTGTAACAGACTGATCTATTTGGCTTAATGTAGCGTTTATAAAGTTAGAATATTCTCGAATCCAAGAGTTTGAAGAACAGTAACTGCAGAAGGTGATCCGTGATTGCTTTTCCATGGAAATGCAGATGTACACAGCCTTTACTACAGCTTTGCCTCATTAGAGGGCTTTCAAACATGGAAAAGGGCAGCTGGATGAGCTGATGCAGGACTATGTAAAAAGCAGCAGTAATACCAAAGGCTCCACAAAGCAAAAGCAGGAGACAAATCCACTTTGAATGTTGGTCCAACAGAATAACATTGCTGTTCAGTATTTTGTGTCAATCCCAGATCCAGAAACATTACAGAGCAAGTTGGGTGGTTCAGTGCCCGATTCTGTCAACAGCATTCTGTGCAGCTAAATAAGAGGAAATTTGTATTAGCTGATCCTGGACTCTCTTCCTTTTTATTTTGCACAAAATATGATGAATTATGCTTCACCCAGTAAGATATGGGTATTCTAAGCTTTGAAAAAACTAATTAAAATAAATGTCACGGTGCATTAATACTATTCATACAAGCAATAGAAAGGTTTATTAGCATATAATATAGTATAATATAATTAATATAATATAGCCTAATCACACAGTTCATCACTCCCAGCTTTGGCCCACATAAGACCTACACTGAGTTTTGTGTTGTGCTTCTTTGGAACAACTCTGCAGGCCACCATCAATTCATGTTAATGCAGTGAAGCAGGATGTAGCATGAACATATGTTTTTTTCATACTGTGTACATGCCAGATGGAATAAGATTTCCTGATAAGGATATCCATAAAACCACGTAATGTACAGACTTGCTTCATTTCACATGGAATAAATTAGGAATGGCTAATCTGAAATTATTGGTTTCCACCACTGTCGGTGTAATGTAGGTACAGTGAGATTTAAGCCAGTACTTTGGTAAATACAAAGGCATTTTCCTTAGTTTTAGATTAAAAACATATACCTAGATACTCTTTGGATAGTCTCCATCATGTAAAAGACAAAAAAGTCAATCTTGCAATGCCAGATCTGAGGAAAGTCTGAGGATAACAGACTTCATTCATGAATATTGAGTATCTGAGGGAAGAATATAATCCTACCACTCATTTGCTATGTTCAGATGAGGGTATACTCTGCAAATGCTTCTTTCATCCCTTTGCTCCCTCCCCACATACACTTTGATAATAGTACTTTTAGGGATGCACAGCAATATATATCATCATGTTCAAGAGTCAGCCAAAATGCCATGGTACCCTGCAAAGTCCTAGAGGATCAACTACAATCCTTACATTTTTTCCTTTCTTAATCATACTGGGGTTTTCAGGCACATATTTACTTTTTTTTTTTTTTTTTTTTTTTTTTTTATTTTTTGTAAATGTCTGAAAAAAGCTCCAGTAAGCTTTTGTAAATCCCTTTTGCCCTTTGCACTCTAAAAACTATTGACTTTTTCTGTCCGGTTGGTTTTGATGTTGTTTGTTCTCTTTCTCTTCTTTTAGGTCATAACCAACACTGCTGCCAAGTTAGTATCACTTCTGTGTAGTGCCAAGTGTTTGTGTTATGCTGTATGTGTGAAGATCTGTGTTCTGGGCTAGCATGATCCCTTCTGTTCCTGCTGTGTCTGCTTTCAAATGGAAGTTTGTTGGGTTTTTTTGGAACCTTACTGATATAGCAAGTGTCACGTGCTGCCACTGGTGTCCAGTGGTGCTCCCTGTTCAGCATTTCCTGGTGATGTTCTAATGCTATAAACAGAGTTTGCATCTGAGCTTGCTTGGGTTTTTTAAATGCTTTTGGATGTTTCCATCTCCGTTATCTGGGTTTAATTCCTCCTAACTGTCTAAGTAGTCTTCATGTCTTCAGGATCTGGGGAGCTTTACCTGAGCCTTTTTTTGGTGTATTACTAGTGATGTATTTTTAGCCTCAATGTTAATTTTTGAAGTCTCAAGTGACTAAAATTCAAATTTAGGATGGTATGGGAAAGATCTAAAAAGTAATTAGCAAACATATTGCTGAAACAAGAAGCAACTATTGCTTTGAAAATGTGATTGATCTGCTTTATTTAGGAAAGTTCAGAGAGTCCTCAGCTTTGATCTTTAATCTTTAAGGGCAGAGGATTTTCTCTAAATTCCTGCTTTCTGTCTCTAAACTGAATATTGTGCAGGAATTCCTAGAGAGACTGGGTTAAATTCAGCAATAATTATATCCATTAAATGTCAATTTTAAATTGACAAGAGAAGGTCAGGAGCAGTAAAAACCACAAAGTTTAAGTAGCATTTAATGCATATAATTTACACTGATCTGGCATTCTTTGCTGACTTTACTGCGGTGTGGGTGTGCTGTCATGCAAATGATGTAACTCCTTTGGAGTGATGAAATTCCAGCCAATCCACGTTGATAATTGTTCCAATAGGATTGTTTTAGAAAGAAGTGGCATTGTAGAGGTGTTTTTAATCTTATTTGCTTTGGAATTTATTTTTCCTGATGCTTCTCCAGCTTGGTAGAGAAATCCCATTCTTTTGGCAGAGGGTCTTCAGCTGTTGCTAGGGTTTCTGCCACTTTGCCCTAGAGCACAGAACCCATTATAAGTACTAATATCTTCAGTTTACTCTCAGAGTTATAAAGAAAACTGCAGTTGAAAATCTCTACCCTCTAATCTTATTTTTATGGGAATCCTATAACTTCAGTGAAAATTTTGCCTTTGTATGTGTAGTGGGACTAAAACCTCTTGGTTGTCACTGAAACTGTTCAGGTACCACAAGTGAATGCTTAATCACTACTGCTGCTACTCTTAGGGAAGTTTAGGCTGTTCTAAGATTAGCAGCTCTTATTTTTATAATTGATTGTGGAAACCAATAGCTCTGAACTTTACTCTTTAAAAGTGGCATCTCTGTCTTCTCATTCTCACAATCTGCTCAGATCTCGGGTTTAGAATCTCTTCAGTACTTCAAACAGTGTGGGAGAGAGAGAACACTAAATTCAGTATCTTGAGGACTTGTGTGTTCCTAATTATCATTTGATCATTTAATGTGTTACAAAGGAAAGATAAACCATTGTTAAAGTAAGGCATGTGCATGCTGGAAAGTCAACAGTAGATCAACCTGCATGTCTCTGCACATCACCCTTCAACAGATGTTGTCAGTGTAGTATTAATAATGTCACAGTTGATGTGTAGGCAATATAGAGATGTTTAAAATATGAAAATATCTTTGTAAAAAGATGACTTTTACTTTTTTGAATGCATAATGCAGCTTACTCGTTCCCTCCCATACAATGTTGATGTGTGTAACTAAAGGCTGTGGCAGTAATACAGCATGTGCATATTTATGTCTCTCTTCCTTGAGCATGTGGCTGTTAATATTTTAGCAAGTATTTTGAATTCTGTGACTGTATCTCTCTTACTGCCCATCCTCAATCATCAACATCTTCGAGAATCTTTGGAACATGAAGTCAGATGGCTGCCAGCTTTACTTGGTTTTCCTTTTCCTCCATGCTGGGTTGAAAGTTCAAATTTAAGACTCACCCTCTGAGGCTGACCCATGGCAGATGGGCACACTGGTCCCTTGCCAACCAGAGAAGCTGTTGTTCAGTCACGTGAAAAAAATTAAGAAAAAGACTTAATGTTGGCTGATAAATTCATGAGATAATGGTTTTAAACTGAAAAGGAAAATTGTTCCAATCAAATTGGATTACATTTTTCAGAATTATTTTTAGGGAGGGATACATCCTTTTTCAGCTTTTGGATTCAGTTCAAAATGAAACCCTTGTGAAATACCTGTTATTTCCCTAAGGACAGAATTCTCAGTTTTGCCCAGTTTGGTGAGTGTGCAGAACTTGTTCTGCTGGCATCCTCCTGCTGCTGGCAGGACAGGACCAGCAGACTAGGGATCCAGCCAACCCTCCAGTGTTTGAGAAAAGCAGCTGCTTCTGTGCCTGATGGCTGAGCTTCACCTCACTGAAATTCCAGGCAATGCTCAGTCCTAACTCCAGGACTAGAACAATGTACAGCTAGGTGCTACAAGGAAGCCAGGTGCGCTTTAGCTGAATTCTGACATTAAAAGGACATGTTCTGTTGCAATGGGAGCATCAGTTAACTTGCTAATGGCTCAATTTCTCAAATAAAAATCCTTCCTCATAAATTGAGCCACTGGAAAATATGGTGGCTACTCTTCCAGCTGCAGTTGGCCCACTGATTGCAATGTAGGATATTTCGATCTGAGACGGAGCATTTATTGTGCTGTAGCAACACTTAGAACTGGCTGTATTGGAGATTTGGGGAGGATTAATTTAGTCTTTGTGAGGAAAGCTTTGAAGATTAAAAGGCACAGCTACTAAATTCCACTATGTTTAATAATCCAAACAGAAAGTACTGGAACCTTCTAAATAATAGAGGACCTGACATCTGTTCTCTGCACTGCACTTTCTAGCACTTTGTAAGACCCTTCTGAAAGAATGAATGGATTCAGTGAATAAACTGGGAATTCTCTGCAATATTTATGTACGTCCATGGGCATGCATATATATGTGTGTGTTTGTGTATATGTTTTTATACACTTATATGAATATATGCATGTAAGAATAACTTTTTAATATAAGTATCACATGAATACTTAGGGCTTTGTCATTTTTTATACAATGACAACTCTTTTGTCTTTTTTTCTCTTTATGTATCTGTGAGCCAACACAAAAATGTCATCCATGAGCACAGCCAGCTTTTGATTGTTACTCATGTTGTCTCTATCCTCTGCCCAGAAGCTTTTGTGGTGAGATGCCACAAACAGCCATGCACACTGGTCTGTCGATGCTTTTTCCCTCACGTAACTGCCACGCCTTTCTCCTTTCTCCCCCTGTCTTCCCTGTCGACCCTCACTCTTGCATAACCCAGCACGGAGCCCGCGGACCGTTTCAACCCCAATGTCCTGAAGGACTCTGCCCTGTCTACGCACAAACCCATTGAGGTGAAAGGCCTGGGCGGCAAGGCTACTATAATTCACGCCCAGTATAACACCCCGATCAGCATGTATTCCCAAGATGCTATCATGGATGCAATTGCAGGCCAGGCACAAGCCCAGGGTGGAGAATTTGCTGGGTAAGGATATTTCCTTGTGTGGAATGCTCTTTCTCTGCATGATCTAACAGTCCTGCTTGCATGACATGGCAGCTCTTTCTGGGCTGTTTTCTCTGGAATATCTTACTCATGAAAAATACAGATCAGTCCTGGATAGCATTTGAAAGCACTTCATTGTTTTAAAGTTAAAAGGACAGATAGTTAGAAAATGTAACATTTATTGTTTTGATAGTCTTCTTACAACTGCTAAACCCCACAAAAATCTATCTAGTGCTCTGTATGACATTGGATGGCTTTTCATTTACAATGACCATGCTTTGTAATAACCACTCTATTATATGCATAACTCAGAAAGAACGTGGGAGGGGCAAACTTTTATTGATACACAAAGAATGCAAAATATGTATTTAGTACTGGCTACGGTTTCATTCTTCAAGAGGGAGTGTTGTGCTGTATTATCCCTATCCCTCGTTTACATACTGTACATGTCTTACACATATCCTTTGGACTATGATAAAGTCCATTGATCTTTAATAATTCTGCTTTTCCAATGCATGATTCTGGTAATCTTATCTGAGAAGGTTCTCCACAGTTGTTATGACTCAATTGAAATTACATGTACAATGAATGTAGCCAGGTTTCTCTCCTACTTGGTATCTTTATACCCAAAATAGAACTTCCCTACTTTTCAGGTGACACCAAAATATAGGTACAGCAACACACTTTAATTTTTAGTTTCTTTTCAAGATGCTAGCTGCAGGGTTATTAAAAATGGAGATAATTTATGTATTTGCGTGTGCTCCCTTTTATTGGCCATTTCTTTTGTTTTGTTTTGTTTTAATTCTTTTTCCCCCCCTGATTTTTTTTGCACCAATATTATCTGGCTGTTCATCACAACTGTCCCTAATGATAGACCCCAAACAAGGCCTTTAGTTGGGTTTGACCATGACTCAGTGACTCCACAGGCATAAGTTTCCAGGCTCATGTTTCCAGTTAGCAAAGTACAATGTAAGAAGTTGATTCTATCTGTGTTCTTTATAATGGTTCAGGTATTCATAGGCATGGATTGTAGGAGACATTATATGATATATTGGCAGTTTCTACTAAATGCTGTATATAATGAAAATGGTAATGTTTTAAAATTTTCCCATTTGAATGATCAGATTCACTGCTGAGCAAGTGGATCCTATTCATTTTATAAATAGCACATTATCTTGAAATGAGCTGAATGAATGGATGCATAGGTAAAAAATAAAAAATAGATTTTCATGGGCTGTTGAACTGTTGCATGAGTAGCATCAAGAGCTATATTAAATGCTACTAGCAAAAGCTGTGTTCTTTTTCCTCATTTTGAACATGGAATCCACCTGTCACATGGGTGTTTTTGAAATGAGATTATTATTTCTATTAATCCTGTCAGACCATTCTACTGCAACTTCTCTTTGCAGACAACTTCATGACTATGTTCTCCCCTGTAATGTTGCAAAAAAATGTTTTTCTGTAAGATTCATAATATAAAGTGCCATTTAAGATTTGCCTTCATTTTGGAATGTGACTTCTAAGCCTAATATTCACGTGGCCCCAGAATAAACTCATGTTTATAGTCCTATGTGCAGTCAGGTGTAGGAGACTCTCTAAATCTACTGGGCTGTGAGCTACAGCCTGTTTTGTAACTTCTTTTTTTTTAAACTCATAACACTTAGTGACTGAACAATTTTCTTCCCAGATTGTTTTATTACTATCAACACAGCACTTTTAATCCCAATATAAAGGCAAGATTTGTGCTGATAGAACAATGGGCTACCCATTGACTGAAATTCATTCCATTAAACCTCTAACTCATTTCCATAAGGTGTGGCTTTGACCTCTGTGATACTCTGAGTTTTAATTTGCAGTGGAAACTGAGTTGAGTTTAGAAAGCAAACTAGTTAGAACATTAGCAAGTTTTGAGTTTGGGTAGCAAACTTATTTTAGTTTGCTTAGTTGATCAAGTTGGAGGTATGTTTATGCTTAATGTAGAAATACTTGTATGAGGAGTTTATCATATAAAAGCAGGTTAAGTTGTGAACTGATTCATTTAGTCTCAATTCACTGCTTATAATTTGGTCTCAGCACTTAATTTCTCTTCTTTGTGTTTTGTTTTGGTTTTTGTACTTTAGAGAGAAGCCCTGAAGCCACACAGTGTATGTAAGATGACAAGCATACTCAGACTGCAAATCTAAAGGGTTTCTGTTCTTTTTGGCAAACAGTAGCTGGAAACACTGATTACTTCTTTTATCAGTACTGAAGAATAGGCAGGCTTAAGACAGGAATTCATTTTCTAGTTTCACCATTTGAAAGTTGGCTCATGTCACTTAGAAAATAAATCACATGTACTGGATCACCAATGGCAAACACAAAGGAAAGCTATAAATTATTTATACTGAAGTTATTCAGACCTCATGCTGGAACTCAAAGGTAGAAAACTTTTAATGCCCTGACTTTATACTTCTCTCACTCTATGTTGCTTATTTTCAATTGATTTTGCTGTACCAAGAATCAAAGAGTTGATTGCAGTAAAACCGTGTAGTGGGTACATTTCAAGTACATTTCTGTCAAACCTCTTCTAAATTCCACTATGCAGTTTTAGCCAAATTTAAGTGTCATGTAAGTAGACCTAAATCCAACAACTTTATCAGGATTAAGATCTGAGAGTTCTAGTAGCAGAATCAATAATGTGATTGTACAAACTAAAGTCTCATGGATCCTCCACAATAAGCCAACTTGGCTGGATAACTTACCAGTCTGCATGAACTATTTGTTTGGGTTGGATTTTTTTATTTACCTTTTAGAGCTTTTTTTTTTTTTTTTTTTTTTAATAGATGGAATCAGTATAATATCCAAAGTCACAGTATTTTGTTGTGTGTCTACATCAGGGGTAGAACACTACAGTGTTCCTAAGTTTTTACATATTATCTACTTGAATTAAACCATAGCTTACAATGAACTTCAAGAAAAAAAACACCACATTGCTACTTACTGAAAGAGATCTGAATGTTTTTAAATCTTGTTGCTTGGCTTCCATGATGATGTGAAAAAGGGGGACAATTTTTTATTGAATCCTACTGAGCTACCTTCGGCTATTATAAGGAAAAAAACCTCAAAAACACTAACCCATTTGGGAATTTATTTATTTTTTTCAGTAACATCAATTTAAAGTAATATGTTTAAAGATGAAGGATATTTCTGCACTTACACACCCAGATGGAAAAAAAAATTAAATTAAGAAGAGGTATAACAGAGGTATTAACATGGTTATGTGCATCTTTAGGCTGTCTGTAAGGATCAACTGTCACATTTAGGTTTATGAAATGCTCATAATCAGCCATGCACTCTAATTTACACTTCCATGCTGAGTGGCTCGTCTGTCCTAGTTACTCATCTACAATATAATTATGATTGTTTTTAAAAAAAGAAGGCGGCCTGTTGCATTAAAGAGTTGGAAATATTCCAATGTCTTGTATTAATTTAGTTCAATTTATGTGAGTGTGTTTCACTGTGCTGTGGAAGGTTAATTCACCAAGCTCCATTTCCTGCCTTAATCATCTACCATAAGGATATTAATATGTCATATTAATGTCCCAGGTTGCTACTGTGAAATTTGTGGTCCAGCCTCTAGCATTTTTTAGCTACCTTTGTGCTAATCACCTATCTATACGTACACTTCCAAACTGCTTTTTTATATGTGGGTCTTAATATAAGAACAAAGCATTTCAGCTAGAGGATTTAAACAAAGGAATTTGAACTGTCCATGACTTGCACACCACTGTTGCCACAGTATTCATGGTTGAAACCAGCAGTACTACCTACCCAGTGGTTTATTATCCACTCTACAACCATCTGCAGCTGGAAATTTGCTATGACACACAGCAGTTTTTTAAGCTTCAGCAGG